TCGTGAATTTTCGGGCTGGTGACACCACCCCGTCGTCAGACGAAATAAAAACATGGCAGAAAGTTAGTTTGTCACACTGGACTGGTTAGCGCGACAGGACAGACAGACTATTGGCCTATGAGAGGGATGGTCACAGAGTCATGGTAGGTCTCTGAGCGAAGGGGGAGGCGGAAAAATTACGGATGCCTGTGCTGGAGGAGAGAGTGGATGGTGGATCAGTTGGACTCCGGGTGGCTGGGTTAGCGGCCGTTGATGTGGCATTAGGGCAGGGGGCAGTAAGTCGTGAGCGTAGGCCCTCGTAATGGGTGTCCAGGTCAACATGGCGGTTGGTACGACCAACATTGGAGTACCAAGCCTCGAGAACTTCTCTCGCCCGTCTCGTGTTAGCCATGGCGACGGCCTCAGTGCCATCCCAATTGAATCGATGGTCGCACTCGAATGCGTGAGAAAAGACGAGGGACAAGGGGTCTCGCCGACGGACACCCAGTTTGTGTTCATTAATACGGGTGCCCAGGCCTCGACCTGCATGACCACCATACACGCAAGAGCAATATTCGCGCGGAATGCGATAAATTACGTATGTTTGTTGCTCTTTGGGGAGGGGATCCTTGATTCGAGATTGTGCTGCACGTAGTAAGGATGTTGGTTTGTGGGCGATGCGAATACCAGGGCGATTTAACTGCCGGGCGATTACTTCTGACGTTCTTTGCATATAAGGCAGGGAGGAGAATGGTCGAGACAACATTTCCCTGTTGAGGGTGGGACCTTGCGGTTGTGTCTGGTGTCTGAGGCAGTTCTTCACTAAACTTGTCGGGTATCCATTAGATGGAAACAACCGATACAGGTAGGCAAGCTCTTTCTTAAGGAGATCGTCGTTGTTGCAATAACGATATGCCCGGTGGAACAGAGTTCGGACGCAGCTTCTTTTGTGAGCCGCGGGGTGGTTGCTTCCATAATTGAGGAAAATTTCAGAATTAGATCCTTTCCTATGGACGCTCGTCGCGAGACTACCATCGCTCAGCCTTTGTATTCTCACGACAAGAAACGGCAGGTTGTCCCCTATTGCCTCCTTACGAGTAAACATTATGGCCGGGAAGACATAATTCAGCCTTCTGCTTTGTATACATAAAGCTGGCGACGCAGATTAACGAACATAGATCCGTTACGGCCCACACCAGTACCTTTCTGGCCGGTAAACGCTCCGAAACCCTCAAACGACTCGTGGTTTCAATGGGGAAAGACATTTGAGAAATATGCTGAACTTATTCCGATGTTGTCGCTCACGAATACACTAGACGTTACCTTTAAATTGAAATTCCTTCGGCCCAATCTTGGACAGTCGGGATGACGGTATTTCAACGCCCTTATTTTACTAGAGGTTAGTGATCCCCAAACAACATTCACAAAGTTCGAGTCAGCGTCGGGAGGAAAAGACAACGTCTTTCTTGGCCGCTGTCGGTTCCGTCAGATGCGTCAGGAATCCAGTCCTTGCTTTGGTGGCTTTATTACGAATCTGACTCTGGCCATCCAGGACTGTAGGTATAAAGAGCTGATGGCAGACAAATTCGAGCAGGCAATGCTCGTTCAGCAGTTGAGTGCTGGTTTTGCGCGATGAGAAACCTCGGGAAGATATCCTAAGAGAGAAAAGGGCTTTTGTCGTGGGAGAAGGCCTGTGATATCGCCGGTCATTAGGAGCGAGTATGGCAAAACTTTCATAAGCTGAATTTGTAAAACGGTGGAGTGATATCATCCTTGAAACCTGAGCTGGCTGTCTTCCGGTCAACAGTGCTGGTTCATCACCTAAACAGCAATCATTAGGTCCATCAAAACAACTACCATCCTGCTGCTGTTCATTTCATATACGGGATGGGTCTCTTCGTTGCACATGCGATCCGAATATGTTTTCGTTAACAGCAGACACAACCCTCAAGATGGCGAGACAGGAGGAACCCAACACGATCGTTCACGGTCCGTTCGGATCCCAAGGTAGGAAGGGACATTAAGGGCAGCGGGGATCATTAAAGCTCGTGAAGATGCAACCAGGATACTATTTTGCTGAGCTACCAATCTAGTAGCAGATGTCGAACACTGGGGGATCCGCCGCGGTAGTTGGCAGATCGTTGAGGTCAAAATTAAGATATGACGTTAAAATCTGCGAAAATCATCGTTTGCGAATGTATACAGATAAGTGGGGTGAATCATTCATGAGGGCAGGATAAGAGCCTGAGAATGTTACGTGGCGACAGACCCAGATCGCGACTGACCTTGAGGGTGAGAGCTCTAAATCCCAGAGCCCAGAACGAAATCCTCGTCGTGCATATGAAGCTTTCTACAGGAACCAAAAAACGCCGCAGGAATACAGTTTAGAGGGTTAGAAAAATCCATTCCCTGGGCTTTACATATCGTGTAATTGCACTGAAAAGATTTAATAAACGTTTTGTTTCACGTGAGTTTTTAGCCCTTTTGTCCTCAACAGTATCTTTAGGGGCGCTGTCAAAAACTATCAGGTAGAGTGGACTACACCGTGATATCTATAACGCATCCCTCTTAATCTTAAGAAACTTTGTTTTTAAAGGTTTTTTGACGGATTAAAACATTGAGAGTGTTTTCCATGTCCATTCTCCAATCCCCAGTCAGCCATTGTATTTGAAAAAAATAGGCTTACGCCTTTGAACTCCCTAGTTGTACGTAAAAAATCGATAAATAAGCAAAATGTGAAGAAATTACAGCATTAGGTGAATGCATACATTGATTCACATATGTCACTAGTCACATGGTTAAAAAATCACATAGTCCGCTTGTTGCTGCAGCATATGTCTGTCTAACCCACACTTAAATGTCTCCACAGATTGAGACATGACAATCATCTCGGGCAGGTTATTCCACGGTTCCACGACAGGGTTGGAGAAAAAATATTTTCTCATATTCAATCTACCCAGGGACACACTTAGCTTGAAGGTGTCTCCCCGGAGGTTAGTTGTTGGGCGAGTTGGAAAAAGTCATCGCACCGAAGGACGCAGTCCAAGCCACGCACGATGCGGAAAGTTCGTATCAAGTCTCCGCGCAACTGCCTATAACTCAGAGGATAGAGATTAAGGTTAGTTAAGCGGATCTCGTATGGCAGTGCACTTTGACCTCTTATTAGTTTTGCTGCTCGCCTCTGTACCCTTTCGAGCAGATTGTAATCCTGATGCGTCCACGGTTCCAGGCCTAAATTGCTTATTCAAATGCAGCCCTACAAACCTGCCGAAGCCTTTGGAGAGGCGGTCTTTATCGAAAACTGCGAATGTCGGCTTGATGGCATATAGCATTGAAGTTGCGACCTTGGCCGCCTTACAACATTGTGTACAAGGCTTTATGGTGTCTGCAACCCAAACTCCGAGGTCCTTCTGCGTATCTGCTTCTTGAAGTGGTATTCCGTTCAGATGATATTGCCGCGTACTAGGGGTCTGATTTCCGAGGCGCAGTATGGTACATTTGGTCAAATTGAAGGATAAGAGCCATCTGCGGGACCACTCGTCCAATCGACAAAGATTTTCTTCGGAGTTGGTCTCATCAGCAGTATTCTGAATGACTTTCCAGATTTTACGTCATCCGCCAACATGGCACTATCACAGTCCAACCCATCTAAACAATCATTGATGAACAAGAGAAAGAGGGTTGGTCCGAGCACCGAGCCTTGTGGGACTCCACTCTCTATGCATGTGCGCCTTGATTGCTGTTGTTCTACGTAGATAATTTGGGAGCGGTCGACGAGGAAAATTTCGATCCATTTGAGAAGTTTGCCACCGATGCCCATTATTCTCAACTTGTGCAGGAGACGCTGATGCGGAACACTGACGTACGCCTTACAGAAATAATATAGGCCGCATGCACAGCGTTTTTTGCGTCCAGTGCTCTTGTCAAACTTTGCATTGTATATAACAAGTTCGTTACACATGCTCTTCCCCTACGGAAACCATATTTTGCATTGGACAAGAGGTTGTTGGTTTCCATATAAGTCATCAACTCCTTTTTTATGGTTTTCTCCATCACTTTGCATCAGATTGATGTCGGACTGACGGGTCTGTAGTTCGTTGCATGAGCACGACTACCGCCTTTGTAAAGGGGTGTAATGTGGGTCGTCTTCAATTCTGTGGGAAAGATTCCAGCATCAAACGATTCCTGGCCTAGAAAGGATAGTGGCTTGGCCAGAATTTGGGCAAGCTCAAAGAGTAGCTTTGCTGGGATCTCGTTCGGACAGGTAGATTTACATTCCTTCAAGCTTTTTAGTTCTTCTAAAATCGCTCATTCTCGAAGCACAATATTTTCGATAGTGGGATCTCCCATGTTCTCGGAAGTAGATGGGAGAAAGTCTGCTTATCTTGTGAAAGCGGATTGGAAAAAATAAGAAAAATGCTCGGCTGTATTTGTACTGTCCGATATCTCCAAACCGTCATCATTCCTCATGACAGGAATGGGATTCCTGTTACCTGTGCTCTTCCACAAATAACTGTAGAGCAATTTCGGATTTTTAACTGCTCGGTGAAGCAAATTACTCTCGAAATCCGTCACTTTTTTCTGTCATGTGTATGACATTTGAATAAGCAGATACCGCTTTCATTTTCACCTCATCGTATCTTATTGGTCTTATCGCCACTTCTTGAAGCTTTTTTCGGTTTTGTTTATTATCAGACCTCTCCAATCGCCTTTTCATGTTCAGCAGCTTTTGCTTGCTTCTTGATAGACAGTTCAAACTTTCCTCTCCGAACATTACGCTCTTGTAGGACTATTTCTAGCGGCTGAGGGGCTGCGGACTGACCTCCTAGGACTTTCCTGCTTAAACTTAGCAATTCAGGTAGGAAGGCAGCGAAGTATTCAGGAGTTCGTGACACTTGGCTAAGTCATGAGTTCCTATCCCGGTCTAACTGACTAAGATCTACTGCATACCTTGGTAACCATAGCGATAGATGGCTGATCATTAAAGGCAAAAATTTAAACTACCAGGATCTTCTCACTGGATGTCGAAAAACTATTGTGCCGAACAGGTTTGTTTATTCTAAGGTGCAAATAGTTTTAGTATGAAGATGCCTTTAATCCTCGAACTCTCCAGTGGTTTGGACCAACTAAGGATTTACCAGATGTAAGTCTGTCATGTTGTTTAATATTTGAATATTATAATATTATGACATGTAAATCATATATATGCAAATATGCAATCAAATTCTACCGAATAAAAAAATAATAAGCAAACTAAAGTAATATCGCAGGCAAATTACAGCATGCTTATAAATATGGATAACTTACCTGCGATATTCCTTTAGTTTTTTATTGACAACATTTGACTGCATAGTTTAGCTTAATATATTGGGTTAGGGTCGCCATCGTACTCACGTGCTGATTTCGCGAAGTCCGCCAACTAATTTCGGGATATGTCTGCTTCGCGTGATTGAATCTGAATTCCTATTAATATGCGCGGTCGTCTTTTGATAGTTAGTATATCATTATGGACACCTTGTAGGTAAAAATATAGGCTGTTAGGCAATAGTGCTCCCATCAACAAATTCTTATAGTCGAATCGCATTTGTAATTATAAACAGGTTGTTTCAACATCTTTACTGCAGAACTGACAAATCGCTATACAGATTGCTTTAAAACGAAAGGTGGTAATCATTAAGGGAAATAAAGTGCCTACCATTCATCTAGCTGCCGAGTTACGGGTGTTCTGATAAAACGACACGATTTCCTTTGTCTCAAAGTGCGTCTTTTTCGGACCTCTAAGCGGTTTTTAATTACTGTAGTTTTGGTTGACAGTTACCTACCTTCTCGTTATTTGTATTTGATGTCATAGTTCTCGTCCTAGTTATCTAGAATTTCCACTTCAGACGGTGTTGACATGGTCAAAGCACATTTTCGATACTTTTGCCTCCACAGTCTCGTCGGTTGACATGTAATAATCTGATGTAGCCAGAAAATGTTGTTTTGTTTTGGCCTGGTTCACATGAAAATCGACACCAAATCGAGTTGCGTAGTACTGGCAGTTATTGCACCCAATATAGACAACTGACATAGTCTTAAGGCAGTGGACAGATGAGGTATCGATAAAGGTTGGTGAGACTGGATTTGCCATTTCTGACTTATGTATCGTTGTCGGCCATGCACGCCTCGACATCAGCATCAGCATGGATACTGATCTAAGTATTCCGTCAGGTCGTTAAATGCCTCCCTCAAACTTTTTATATTCCCATTTTCATCCGACGGGATACCAAACCCACGGCCTAGTTGTAGGACTTTTAATTTAGTGCTCGGTGACCAAGGTGCGAGGGTTCGAGTCCCGATTTAGCTTCACTTGGTTACCGAGCCAAAAAATGACCACTAGAATCTCTTTATGTCTTTGCTGATATTCCCCTTGGATTGAGATGTGACCCCATTTGGTTTTTTTTCTGCCAGCATGCGAAGCACCGTACCGCACCCTCTAGGTTCATCGCCAATGATCGTGGACACCTGAACGAGCGACAGGATAGGCATCCGGGCAGAAATCCATTCGGCAACTTTGTGGGCAACTGGGACACACCTTGTCATCATCCCGGCAACCACGTGGACAATGTTATCAATCGCTCCAAGCCGGGCATTCAATACCTGCAGAAACAACGCGACCTCTACAATGCTGCAATTAGTGCAAATGAAGCTAAAAACGATAGGGTCACAGCGGCAGCCGTAAGAAACCTCCTTTCTCTCTATTTGGCTGTTCTTTTTCCTGTGGATCCAACCATCATATTCGGTTTCTTTCAGTTATGATCATTTTATTGGCGAGTGTAAACTCACTCTCTTTTAACTCTAGTCTATTTGACCTGGTCTCTCATGATCATTCTACAACCCTGAAATTATGTGAACTGAATCTTGTAAAAAACTTCCATAATATATGCCCTAAGCTTAACTGATTGAACGGATAACATTTGGTGTCGAACAGGTTGCTTTTTGTATAATCTGGTGCTGTATGTGCATAAAGTTAATTTTTTTGATTTTTCGGGTAGGCTGTTTTCGAAAACTCCCAGAAAAGTTGAACTGTTATAGGACTGTCGGGTTCGGTCACCTTCCTTTCATGCTCTTTTCCTTACCCAAATCTGAGCTGGCCTCATAGATACATAGATTTTTCGATCCTCCGACGAGTTTATTTGTCAGTTTCGTGTTGAAGTTCATGAGAATGAACTTTAGACCAATCTCTCGGGAATTTTCGTCAAACTCTCCTTGTTTTGGCGATTTCTTATAGCCTGATAATTTTATTTTGGGATCCACTCAGTCTGCCTCGCACATTTTAGCCAAATTCGAACTAGTTGAGAAGTGCGCAAAGTTTCGATTATTCTTTCGAACTGTAACAGACTGTTTAATTTTTTCAAAAAGACAAAGTTGAACTAAATCCGTTGTCCCAGTTCCCAGTCGTAAATCCGATCTATTTTTTCCGTTGCAGTTGAAAAAGGAGGCTGGCATAAGCTGAACTGGTCCGCTCAAATGATCCTGCTGCTTGCCATAACTCTCATTTTCTCCTGGGGCCACCCCTATTTTTATTTTCATCATTTAATAAAATATGATGAAGGATTACTTTCTGCGAAGGTAGCCTCCTTGATAAAGTATTAAGTCACCCTAGGAACCGTTTCAGCCTTTGTACTGCCTCTGCTCTGGCCGCTAGTAATCCTTACAGAAAAGCAATTTTGCAATTTCTTGTCAACGGAAAGAAATGTGTTCCTGCAATTCATTAGTTCTTGGCTGCATGCGAACGAAGTCCAAACCATATTTTATAACTGTTGCTGATAATCATTTCGCAAACGATCTAGACTATACCGCCCTTAGTTCCTACGCTGATTTTTCGCCGGTTTAAAATTGTGCCTACTGAATTCAGTTGAGAGCGTTTAGTTTCATGTTGAAGCGATGCATCATCGCTTCAGTGGCCAGGAAAAATATGCTCGTGCCATTTTACTTTGCACTTCCGAACTGGAACCATCCTAAGCAGTTTCACAGTGACTGGCTGTCAAGACTTTAGGCCGCATACCAGTAAGGACTGTTGGAACGGGGATGACTATCCCTGGATTACTAGTCACTATTAGGTGGTCATATCGCAACTGAGGCGCAAACCTGAGTAAACTACTCACTTACCATCTGAGACGCGTACCTACGTCCAACTATAAAAACGAACGTGCTTGTGGATTTAATTTCAAAGGTTTAACGCAAGTTCTTGGTAGCCAACTGATCCAGAGTAAGACCGCAGGTCGTCTGCACCCGAAGCCTAGACACGGTTGTCTAATCACAAACAAGCCTGGTACTAAAATGTCGTCGACATGATGGACTAGGAGCAGTCGTCTGTTGTATCACGGAAAACATTCAACAGGAGTGCCAGCAGCCTCACCTTTCCTTAGTAATCGAAGGAGTAATCGAAGCAATAATCGCCTTTTGCGCCTTGAAGTCGCTTATCTCTCAACCCGCAACATTGTTTTGTAGGGACCCCGATTTTTTCCATCTCAAAGGTAAGCGACTGTTGACTGTATTCTGCGGCCACTGACCACCGACTCCTTAGCTAACCGCGGGTTCATCTGTGATCGCCTTAGCAGGAATTTGGGAGGTCATTTATTCTAATTGCTAACCAGTTATTGTTTAATGGTCAACACATGACGACAACGTGACTACCGCGAACGCTGGTTCTTACTGCGTGCCTTTCAACATGAATGCAGCATCGATAGCTCGTGGTTGAATTAGTGGTTGATAAGGCAGACTTGAGTAGTATCTGCTGCACCTTCTGCAGCAATTAATTAAGTAGTGTTGTAAAACTAATCACCATTCAGCAAAATTCTATAATAATCCAGTTACCGCATGATGCCCGCTTTCGAGTAAACTTATTTTCGACTGCATGCAAAAACTATAATCTGTAAAAAATGGCTACTTAAGTACCACGCATTTGTCTATTTGATTTTCGATGCCCCTAAAAGTCCAATTATATTTCATGGAAACCTGCATAAAAATGCCAATTATTTTACTTATTCGGTAGAAAATCAAGTCTCTTTCCGATTTTGTGCTCGAAAGAAGGGTATAATTCGGTTTCAAAAAAACTTTTCCAACTCCCGAATCATTTCGAGGGAGTTGGAAAAGTTTTTTGAAACCGAATTATACCCTTCTTTCGAGCACAAAATCGGAAGCGAGTATAACGATTTCAATGGCAAACACGTGGGTCACACAGTGGAGACAACACTAGGCGCGTAGTGGCACAGACTTCAGTAAACAAAAGAATAACCCGTTTATCAGAAAGGAAAATTATTGTTTTGCAAATCACCTGTACATGTGGAAAAAAGCTGGGGAAATTGTACCGAAAATGTGTTCATTTTTTATCCAACGATAACTTGCATTGAACTAGATCAGATAGGACAGTTTGGCTGTCATAAGCAAAGAAATCCAAACGGGGTGAGCGTGGCATCGGGGGCCTGCGTGTGAAGTAGTTTCTGGTTTGGCAGGCGTGCGCAGTATCTACCACTCTCCGATGGCAAGACACTGTCAAGACAACTGCACTTGTGTCTAAACGTCGCGAATGATAAAGCCAAACAGCCCGTCTACGTTTACCATACACAGCCTGGTCTCAAAGCCATGTTCCAGACCCTCATGAGGAGGGCTGGAAGCTCGCATGCGTGGGGATGTCCTATTGGCTAGATTGAACCGGAGTCATTTAGATTAGTTCTCAGTCCTGAGAGGGACCTAGTTATCCAGGCCAGGCTGGACACGAAGATTCTTCGCTAACAGAGTGCTTGAGGCTTGGAACGCCCTGCCTCCGGATGTTGTTATGTCTGCTTCCGTCGAGGTCCTTAAGAGGAAGCTGGATCTGTATGGCAGTCTCCACTAAATTACCACCCGACCTTTGCAGCCTTGACGAATCCTATTGTTGTGATGCTACTTGCTATATTTCAGTAACATTTTAATTGGCTTTATTATTGTCTCCAACACCGCCTACGCTTAATGACATGCAAGTATGCAACTTTTGTCACTAGGGTTATTGTTTATTTCCCTGCACTCCAAACGACC